TTTATGAAAACCTCTGTCAGCAAACTAGCAACGGCAGAAAACTTCCTCAACTGGATGAAGGAACTACATCTCACCAACACATAACATGATGCATACTGACAAAACTCTGAATGTTTTACTCCTACAATCGAGCATGAAGCAAAGATGTCCTGAAAGGAGACATCTATGCCGTTGAATTCATCCTGAATCTGCATTTTATTTAACATTTCTATAAGTGCCTTAGGAAGATCTGCAAGTGTGTAGATGCTGTTGACGTTTTTCTGGTGGTGCCAAAATTCCAGCACTATCTCTAGTGCAGAGCATATTTCCAAATTGTAGATAGGGATTTATTGGTGGACTGAAAAATCAAGTCAGGGGCTTCCCTGGTGGCGCAGTGGTTAAGAATCCGCCTGTCAGTGCAGAGGAACACGGGTTCGAGCCCTCGTCTGGCAAGATCCCACATGCCATGGAGCAACGGAGCCCGTGCGCCACAACTACTGAGCCCATGTGCCACAGCTACTGAAGCCTGCACGCCTAGAGCCCGTGCTCCACAACAAGAGAAGCCACCGCAATGAGAGGCCCGCGCACTGCAATGAAGAGTAGCCCCCGCTCGCCGCAACTAAAGAAAGCCCGCGCGCAGCAACCAAGACCCAACACAGCCAAAATTAAATTAATTAATTAATTAAAAAAATCAATTCAGTAAGATCAAAATTTTTTTTAAATTTACTAGACAAGACCAGAATGTATCAGAAAGAATACATCAAAGAGATACTATTTTGTAAATTTTTCATCTGTAAATTTTTCATTGGGTTGGCTTCTTCCTAAATGGTTTAAGTTTTTCTTTAAGTGAGCAATCGTTGCTCAGAGTGTGAGAGACAGAATAGTGGTCGCTTATTACTATAGCCCAGCCAAGTCTTGGCAGCTCTATGTTTAAATATGCTTCAGATGTGTGTGTGTGTGTTTGTGCGTACACGAGGGCGCATATGTGTGTATGTGTTTAGTCATGATGTAAAATGTATTTCTTACTGTGAACTGTGATAAAAAAAGATTGTGAGACTTCATCAATAGGCAAAAAGTGACAGATATCTGGGCAAGAAAGGTGTGGGTACGTACAGGGAGGGGGCTGTGGGCTCTAACTTCCTGCTAGGAAGGGCCTGCCTAACTCTTCCCAACACACAGCATCAGACCACCAAAATGTTGAGCCTCACTAGCACAGAAAAGAAAAATCTCGTCCTTTCTTGTGCAAAATTATGTTCTCTGTACACTTAGAAGAAACAAAACAGAGGAGAGGGCTACAAAATGTCAGGATTACTCAGCGCAGCTGCTCAGTGCTGCCTTGCACAACTCTAGAGGATGTTTTCACATAGACTGCAATGTGAATGGCTCCCCCTGGAGTTGAGCAGTGTGCAACCCAGACAACACTACCAGGCAGCCGTAACTACAGTGATTAAGAGCACAAGCTTTGGAGCCCAACAAACCTGGAGTCTAGTTCCAGATCTACTCTCAGGCTATATAATCTGGGGCAGGTAATTTAACCTCCCTGAGCCTCAATTTCCTCAAGAGGACACGCTATATATTCCTAGGACTTAGTTCAGTGCCTGGTACACAGTGGTTCTCAATAAATATGTGTTAAATGAATGCAAAAATGAGCTAATACATGCCCTGTAAGGCGGTGGTGAGAAGTAAATTAACATGTGCAATGTTTTTACATACAGTCCAAAAACTAGCCCACAGTAAGCACTAAACAGTTATCTACAAAAGATGACAGACTGAAATATTAAGATTCTTCTGGATGGAAAGATGCATGAGGGGGAGGAATTATTTTATTTAAATCAATAAAAAATAATCATAAGCTACTGAGAAAAGACAAACATTAAAAGTAATATAAGCGGGGCTTCCCTGGTAGCACAGTGGTTAAGAATCTGCCTGCCAACGCAGGGGACACGGGTTCGAGCCCTGGTCAGGAAAGATCCCACATGCCGCGTAGCAACGAAGCCCATGCACCACAGCTACTGAGCCTGCACTCTAGACCTGCCAGCCACAACTACTGAGCACGTGTGCCACAACTACTGAAGCCCGCACGCCTAGAGCCTGTGCTCCGCAACAAGAGAAGCCACGGCAGAGAGCAGCCCGAGCCCCACAATGAAGACCAGCTCCCGCTCGCCACAGCTAGAGGAAGCCCCGCACAGCAACGAAGACCCAATGCAGCCAAAAACAAATTAATTAATCAATTATTTTAAAAAAGTAACATAAGCTGGACACGGTAGAACTTTGGTTAAGTGGGGAGAATTCTTGATGCCTGAGAGTACGTTTGGAACAAACAAAAAGTAGGAAATGATATATTTTGTTATTTCCAATTGTAGGTCAGGTAAGGGCAAAAAGTATCGATAACTTCAAAGCATTCTAGGAATGATACTGAGCCCTGAGCCGTGGAATCTGAACTGTTTGGGTTCACTCCTGGCTTGGGCGGGGCGGGGGGGTGGTGGTGGTGGTGGCGGTGACAGCCGTGGGGACATATGTTCCTTTCTTCTCCAGTACTTATTTCCTTGTGGAACTGTGGTTTGGACACAGTCATGACAACACTTCAACCCTATTAAAGTCTCACAGTAGAGCAGGTCCCCTTAGACTGAAAGCACAAACCCAGGAGCGACTCTAGTTCCCTCCTGCCTGTGGCCCCGCTGCCCACCTCTCCGCAGGAAGCCTGCGGAGAGATGGTTGATAACAAAAGCCAGTAAAAGTACATTCCAGGAGGGAGGGATGCTGAACCGCCAAGTGAGGTCAAGCCAGTCAGCAGTTAGAAAAGGAGGCACTTCTCACACTTGCTAATGAGTCTGACGCTTGTGAAACATAAACAGGAAGTGGGAGCTCTCCAAAACGACCTGAAGGAAATCCACTCCCACTTTGGTCGAAGTGTGAATCCCAATTCTCTAGGTGGTCAAGGGCACTGCCAATTAAGACTGACCCCACCCCAGCCCCCAAACTGCAGCCGAGGCTAATTTTCACCCGCGCCCAGCGTTAGCCCCATTTTTTTCTATCTTTCCCACAGCCAGGTCACTCCGCAGCGGGGTGACTGACCCGAGGCGTGGTGGGAAAGGCTTACAGTCATCTCTCAACTCCCCGATCTTGCAGGGCAGGGCAGCACAGAGGTCAGTGAAATCCCCAGCCAGGCCTTATTTTAGTCATGAATTTCCACTGGCTCCCTCCTCTGACTGCATCAGCGCTGCTCACACCGCGGGCTTAGAGTTTCAGCTGTTTTCCCTGCTCCAGGCAGTTAGAAGGTCACAGAGGCCGGACTTTTCCGGGGGAGGTTGGCGGGGTGGGGGGGTGGGGGGCCTCCGGCGGCCCTAGTGAGATCGCGGAGATCTGGGGCCGCTTGGAGGAGGCCTTTCTGCCCCAGGCTCCGGGCAATGGGTTAACTTCTCCCCTCTCCTCTGCCCAGGCATCTTTGTTCGTACTAAATTTAAAAAATATATTTTTTAATAAAAACAAAACCACACACACTTCCTATCTTTTCTTTTTTTTCCCCCTCTGTCCGTCGGTGGCACCGATATAATTTTCCCAGGGCTGCCTTCCCCTCACTGCCCAGCGGAACCTCTTCTCAGACGTTCCTGTGAGTTCAAGGGCAGAATCTGTGTTCGTTTCGTCCAAGTTTATCTAGCAACGGGCACAACGCCTGGCACAGGGTAGGGGGCTCAACAATATGTGTCCAATGAATGAACGCTAAGATGTCACTGTGATGGGCAGTTTGTCCTAGTCTCTCTCTTCCTTCCTCCTCCGAGCGCAGACCGCACACAGCACCCCCGAAGTCCCCGGCAGGAGGGAGATGGCCGACCCTGGCTGGCACACCGCAGCCCGGGGGCCTCGGCCCCCCGGCCAGGGCAGAGGGGCTCGCAGTCGGGAGCGCTGCGGCCCCGAGCCCCGGCCACGTGAAGTGTCACACCCCGGGCTGCTGCAGGGCAGGCGCGGTGGCTGCGGTTGTGTAACGTTGCGGCCCGAGGGGATGCGTCCTGCTCCGGTGGGGGCAGAGGAGGGAGGGGACGCAGGGCACCGCGCCCGGTATCTTTCTGTGCTTGACTAGCTCAAGTGCGGGGCAGGGAGGGGGTGCACTGGGGCACCCGGGGGGTGCTTAAGTGGGTGCTCGCCGGCGTGCAGGCTGTGCCCGGGAACGCAGCTCCGTGGAGCCAGGGGCCCGCGGCTCACAGCCTCGCGGGTCAGGTGCGCACAGCGTGCTCAGCGGCGGCCTCGGCTGCCCCTGAGCTTGGCTGCCAGCCCGCTTCCCATGGGGTGACATCCGCCCCGCCCCTCGGCCCCTCCCCAAGGCGGGCGATTCCTGGACGCGGGGCCGAGGGGTGGGGGCAGGGAAGCCGGCACAGAAAGAAACCCCAGCCTCTAGGGAAGGCGCCGGGGACTCCCTCCGCTGCGCGCCGGTTCCTCCGAGCGGGCCGCGCGGGGTGGGGGTGGGGGTGGGGGGGAGGAGGAAGAGGGTTGGGCTGGAACTAGCGAGGGGATATTCCTCTCCCGGCTTGAGTCAGACGCGGGCGGGTCCGTCCTCCCCCGTTCCCTCCCAGGAGACGGGAACTTACTTCATTTCCCTGGGGCAGGTTCGCCCACGTTACCAACCTCCCCCCACCTCTCCGGCCCCTTCCAGTTTTCGCGCCCCCACCCGGCTGGGCTGGACCCGGGCTGCGCTGCCACCCCCTCTTCGGGGAAAGGCAGCCGCAGACACCTGGGGGCCGGGGGTGGAGGCGGGGGCTCCCTCGCAGCCGCGGGAGCGTCGTCCAACACGTGAGACTCATGTGATGAAGCCGGGGGAGGGCGGGCAGGTCGCTCCTTCCCTCCCCGGCAGCGGCCAGACGTGCCTGGAGTCACAGGGTAGAACACGTAGCTCCAACCCACCCACTCGTTCCCATTTAACCCAGCCCGCAGCCTCTCCATTACTCCTCGGCTCGTCCCCCCCACCCCCCCCCCCCCCCCCGCCGCGCTCCCTCCCGCCTCCCCGCCCGCCCCACTTCTCATTCACTTGGCTCACACGGCGCAGACGGCGCAGGGAGCACACACTGCCAGTCTGTGCGCAGAGCCGGAGACCGAGGCCGCGGGTCCACCATGCACGCCCCCAACTGAAGCCGCAGCTCCCGGCAGCCCAGCGGATTTCAAGGAGCTCAGAGTCCGAGGAACCCCGGCGAAGAGACCCCCGAAACCCTCTCCACAACAGTCCTCATCCGACGCACTGCCGCTGCAGACAGGAGCGCACAGTGGCCCCGGCTCGCCGCGCAATGGAGCGGATCCCCAGTGCGCAACCGCCCCCCGCTTGCCTGCCCAAAGCGCCAGGACTGGAGCCCGGAGACCTACCAGGGTAAGTTGGCACCCCCGGCCCTTTCAAGCCTCAACTCCAGTCCTGCGTTGTGCGCGGCTTACAACTCGGAGCAGTTCTGGGCGCATCCGGGGGTTCTTGCCAACCAGGGCTCCTGCAGCCGGTGCGCAAGTCACAGCCATTCCTCGTTCCTCTCCCTGCAGGATGGATTTTGCCCATATGTACCAAGTGTACAAGTCGCGGCGGGGAATAAAGCGGAGCGAGGATAGCAAGGTAAGAGCACCGCGCCCCTCGGGACCCCAGCCCCGCGCACGCGCTGAGTTTCCGGTAAAAGTTTTGTCACTTTGCGGCTGGAGGGGGTATGCCAGGTGTGGGCTCTGGGCCTCTACTGAGTGGCCTGGAGAAGAAGGGGCGGAGGGGAGCTGGTTCTGGGTGTGACTCTGCTCCGCTGCCCCGACTCCTCGCGCCGCGGCGGGGCGAGGAGGAGGGCTCCTCACCGCCGTCCTCCCGCGCCCACCGTCTCCCTGTGCGCTTCGTAGGAGACCTACAAACTGCCGCACCGGCTCATCGAGAAAAAGAGACGTGACCGAATTAACGAATGCATCGCCCAGCTGAAGGATCTCCTTCCCGAACATCTCAAACTTACAGTAAGTGAGAAGCTGGCCCCTGTCCAAACCAGCTCCTCTGCCCAGAGGGCGGGCGAGGGTCACTCGCCACCTGCAGGCCCCGCTGGGAACTGCAGACCAGATGGCTCGATCCGAGCACTGGTGGGCGGCTCTGTTTGGGGGTACCCTTGCCCAGGGTCAGAATTTTCTGGCAGCCTCGTGCCAATGAGGTGAGAACCGTTTGTACTTCTCCAGGTTGGCACCGACACCGGCTGGCCTTCCCTTGCAAGAGATTTAAGACTTTCCCTGCTGGCGATTTTCAGGGTTCTTTCGTTTTCCCGAACTGAGCAAACCAAGCAACTCGCCAATATTTTACCCCCTTCCCCCCCCCC